CCCATATCCTTAATGAACATAGATGCAAAAATTCTCAACAAAATACTTGCAAACTGCATACAAACACACATCAAAAAGATTATCCACCATGATCAAGTGGGCTCTATTCCAGAGATGCAGGGATGGTTCAATATACATAAGTCAATAAACATCATAAATCATATAAATGTACTCAAAGACAAGAACCACATAGTCATCTCAATAGGTGAAGAGAAAGCCATTGACAAAATGCAGCATGCATTTATGTTCACAGTCCTAGAGGGAATCGGACTGGAAGGAACATACCTCAACATAATTAAAGCCATACACAACACACCCACATCCAACATCATTCTAAATAGAGGAAAACTGGAAGAACGCCCATTAAAATCAGGAACTATCTGTCCACTATCTCCACTCCTCTTTAACACAGAGCAATAAGAGAGGAGAAGGAAATTAAAGGAGTAATAACTGGAAAAGAAGAGCTCAAATTATCCCTTTTTGCAGATGATATGATATTATACCTAAGAGATACCAAAAATTCTACCAGAAAACTCCTAAAAATGATTAGCACTTTCAGTAAAGTGGCAGATTACAAAATTAATCTTCAAAAGTCTGTAGCCTTTCTACATACCAGTAACAAGGAATCAGAGAAAAATTACATGGAAACATCCACTTTCACAATGTCTTGGAATAAACCTGATCAAAGACATTAAAGACCTCTCCAATGAATATTTTAAATCTTTAAAGCTCAGTGGTTAAGAGCACTGACTGCTCTTGCAGAGGACCCAGGTTCAATTCCCAGCACCCACATGGCAGCTACAAACCATCCTTAACTCCAGTTCCAAGGGAATCCAAAGCCCTCTTCTGACCTCCGCGGCATTTTAGGAAATGGGTGCACTCACATACATTCAGGCAATACACTTGTACACATAAAATAAAAATAATAAATAAAATATTAAAAAAAAAAAGAGAGATGGAGGAAGACACCAGAAGATGGAAGGAACTCTCATGCTCACGGATTGGAAGAATTAATATGAAAATGACCATCATACCAAAAGCCACTTATAGATTCAATGGAAGGACAATCAAAATCCCCAAGACATTCTTCACAGAATTGGAAAAAAACTAACCTAAGATTCATACGGAAGCACAAAAGACCTCAGATAGCCAAAGCAACCCTGAGCACAAAGAGTTACGCTGGGGGGATTACTATACCAGATTTTAAACTGTATTAGAGAGCTATAGTCATAAA